GTTCCAGAAATAGAAAAATGAAATTGCGTTACCAAATGGATTTCTGTTCCAAACCTCTTTCCAGGAACAGAAAAATAGAAAAACATAGAAACAGAATGGTTATCATGCACGCCCTAAATATCGAACACTTCAAATGACGATTTCTTAAATCTCAAACACTTTCCAAACTTAAAGTGTTCTCATCTTTGGTAAGTTAAAACATGTCTAATTTCAAAAAAAATAACAACAATAAATTCATCTCCCAAAATGTTATATTTAAAGTTTTCTCTTCGTCTGGTAATTTTTGTTCCCACGTAAAGCTGTGTGCTCTTTGGGCTAGCACCACTAATCCAAACATAAACTCTCTTTTGTTTTTATAGCAAGGATCACAATATGAACAAGTCTTAGCGAGCGATCTCGCACTTGTTTCTGCTCATAATGAGTTTACCAATCTAGGGGGTAGACGCGTAGTTCTCCATCCAAAATTGTAAAGCCGCATGGGATCGGAAAGTTGTCTTATAGGCTGATCCTACACACCAGGCCTAGGCATGTTGACATCTTTTAGAATATCTTAGCTTAGAACGCGTGATTGCATGATCTCGGTGTTCCATTGAGCATGGACTAGTCAATGTTTTACGTGGACTTGTGCCTGTGGAGACCAAAAAAACAAAAAAAGGAATTATCAAGAAAATATTTGGTGGGTCTGACACGCCACGTAGGCCAATAGGCCACTTCACTCATCGATTGCCATGTGTCCGACTTGGACAGGTGGTAAGCCAATTGTTTTTTGGTCGAAAGGATGGTAGGCCAATTAATTGAGCGGTTTTTTGGCCTTAGTGGGACGTCAGACCCACTCAGTATTTTCTCATTGCTCTTTGAAATGGACAGAGATTTCTTGGACAAAGTTTTAGAGTGGTGTTTGAATGGCTAATTGTGAACTCGACCTTTTCTTTTCTTGTCTTTTATTTTTTAGGGGTTTTATATTTGCTTCTAGCTGTTAAGAATTAATCTTTATTTTAACGGAACACCTCAAATGTTTATAAAATCATGTGAAGTTGATGTTGGACTTTTCTTTATTAAATATCAAAGTATTTGTTATTTTTTTTGACATTGTATATATGCATTCACAATACGAGTTCATGCATCTGATTGGCAATTAGGGGCAGATTGTCTTCTTTCCGGCCACTGTCCATCGTCGGGGCTGGACTTGTTTTTTTATGTTGAATTCGTATCTTTGATATGTAAGGGCATTAGAGTGCGATTCATTCCTAGAGTTTTTGACATGAACATTTATTTCTTGTAAACAGAGAAGATATGGCTGGCGAGCGATGATGCTAGAGACCGTGACAGCGGTTACCCGCCATGGTCAGAGGAATGCTTCTGCACTGCAAATCGCTAAGGCAGTTCAAGCACGGTGGTGGTTGGATCAAAGCTCTACTAGAAGAAGCCGAGAATGAACGCATGCACCTCATGACCTTCATGGAGGTTTTGAGGCCAAGATGGTGCGGCCGTGCACTCGTCCTTGCAGTCCAGGGCGTCTTCTTCGATGCCTACTTCCTGATCTCTCCCAAATTCACCCACCGAGTGGTTGGTTACCTCGAAGAAGAGACCACCCTGCAGTTCGAAACACACTCGTCCCTGGGGAAGATCTCTAGAAGTAGCTTCTTGGCTTCTTTGATAGAAATCTCAATTCATTTTTATGAATCACCCTGACGTGATGAAAATGAGCCCGTGAAGAAGACCCTGAAACTTTGTTAATCGGCTGTAAGTACAACCGCTGACGGCAAAACCTGATCAAGTGATTAGATTGGCTAAATCATAATTAGTTGATCTGTTTTTTTATAGGATTCCCTTGGCTGATTTATATATACGGTCTTCCAAAGAATACTTTGGTTAGTTTTAGTGACATGTTAACAGAGAATCGTGTCTTCTTCTTTATTTGGCTAACTGTGATGATTCTGCAGATCTTCCCACTGAACTTTGATTCGAAATATTACTTGTAGATGCAGGTTGTGGAAGCATAAGCAGAGATCATAACGGGTTTGGCCATCCAATGGTCACAGCTGGAAAAAAAACAAGCTTTGTACGGTTGTGACAAGCTTGTGATTGGAATTCAGTAATAATGACCACATGAGACGTGATATGACAAACCTTCAGCAAAACGCTCATAAGTGCGCTTTCTCCTTTGGGATAATGCTCCTGTTGTTCACTAAAAACACTGCAACGACGTGATTTTCTAGACAACCGGAGCGGCTCGAATGTTTATTTGGCCTCTCAGTTTCTTAATTTCACAGTGGAATGTGGAAAATTCAGGACATTCTTACAACCTCTTATTCATGAGAAATCCTCAGGGGGAACTCTTTTGAAACAGGCCTCTCCTCTGACCACAGCTTTAGATTAATCATTCCAGTTTCCCAGTGGATCATACACTTGAAGACCTCATTGACATCGAACCGATTGACTAGTCCCACGCCAGGGCATTCATCCCAGAGCAACCATCCACCTGAAAAAAGTGGACAGTAAAGGCACCGAGATGAAGAATATCCTCATTTGTTGGAACAAAAAACGTCTAAAGTGAGTGGCTACTGATTGGATAACCGATTCATGGTTGTCCTATCCAAAAGGTTATCATTTTAAGGAATCTTTTGAGGGGGGTGCTAGTAAATAACCACTTTAGGTTATGTAATCAAAGAAAAGAACATGCCCACCAAGGACAGGAGAATAGAAGCTGGAAGCGTTGTAAACATATGCAAGAAGCAGGATGTTTAATCACAGGAGTAAGCTGCTCTGAACGGAATCCGCAATGAATGATTCAATCTGAAGACCTAATGATTGATGGAATTATGTTTAATAAAAATTGTATTTGAACCCAACCAAAAGCTAAATATACGTATATCATGGAAAAGACTGAACATTTGCTGAAGCATATGTATTGATCTCTCAAAAGATGTATGGAAATTACCTAGGGTGATTGGACATCCACTTGATGAAGATTTTAACCATATGTAGACATGACCATCCGAAGAAAGTGAAGATTATCGTCGTGCTCAACCTATTGATTAAATGGAACTTTAGGATATGCAGTAGCTAATTGATGAAATCGGATATGGAGGAACCTCGGCTGATTGGTGGTTACATGGAAGGAAATCTCAAGGACCTATTAATTGACTTTGATTGATACAAGGCCATAGGAAGATTCACACAAGGATGGAAGGGTGGAAGACAATAACGGCTGGCTAAGGGACCTCTGACATTTGGATCAACGAGAATTGAGGACTTGAATTCGAAGCAGGAGACGAGAATAGTCTATAACGAGAATACGACCAATATGAATAGCATACACCTTGATTCTTGTACTTCCACTTGTGCTAAACTTAGAAAGACCTCGAGCGTATTTTGAACCATCTTTGTATCATCTTATCTCTAGTAAGCACTGCGGAGTGTGTTTATAAATTTAAATGAGAGGGAGAGGCTTAACTATATGGGGGCATTGATAGGAGACCATGGTTCCGTTCTAAAGGAGCGGCGGGTTCTGTACAAGGGTCTTTACTATAGAGGCAAATAGATGATATGAGTTGTAACATATTTGGTGGAAGTAGTGGGACGCAGCCTTGGTTGGCAGCTGGGCTGGTTGTACTTGAAGGGAGGAGTAAGGAGCGGGCCTGAACCTCTCCTATACTTAGCTCAATCTTGTTATCTCTACTCTTTTGTTTATTGTTAATCACTTGAAGCATCAACGGTTTCTGGAATATTTCTGTTAAACTGATATCAGCGTTATAAATTTAATGCTAACCAACTTTTGGTGATCCAAGATGGTAGAAGTACCAAAATCTTGAACAATGCACTTGGATCTTGGTTTAACAAGGAATTTGTGATCCTGTTAACCCTAGTTTTCCAGCATAAAACCAAATGCAAGTTTTGGCAACCCAAAGTAAGAGTTCCAAAAGCCGGAATGATGCAACCGGACACTACAAAAAAAAACAAGGGATTAGCGACGAATTTTGCGACGAAAAATTTGGCAAAATCCGTCGCTAATCGAATTTGCGACGGAATTAGCGACGGAAAAAATTCCGTCGCTAATTCGTCGTCGCAAAATTTTGCGATGGAAAATTTCAATTTCCGTCGCTAAAATTCGTCGCAAATTAGCTACGAACTTCATTCATCACAAATTAGCCACGAATTCTATATGTCGCAAAATTCGTCGCAAATAATTCGTCACAAATTGGTCACGAACTTTATTCGTCACAAAATTCGTCAGAAATTTCGTCGTAAATTAGCCACGAACTTTATCCGTCGCAAAATTCATCGCAAATAATTCGTCGCAAATTAGCCATGAACTTTATTTGTCGCAAAATTCGTCGGAAATTTCATCGCAAAATTCGTCACAAATTAGCCACGAACTTTATCCGTCGCAAAATTTGTCGCAAATAATTTGTCGCAACACTACAAAAAAAATTAGGTTTTAGCGATGAATTTTGCCACGAAAAATTTGGCAAAATTCGTCGCTACACGAATTTGCGAAGGAAAATTCCGTCGCTAATACGCCATCGCAAAATTTGTCGCTAATTATTCGTGGCAAAATTCGTCGCTAATTTGCCACGAACTTTATTAGTCGCAAAATTTGTCGCTAATTTGCCACGAAATATATTCGTGGCAAAATTCGTTGTTAATTTGCCATTAAATTTTTTTTTTGGTCAGTAATTTGCGACGAACTTATTGGTGGCAAAATTCGTCGCTAATTTGCCATAAAATTTTTTTACTTTTGCCATTAACATTATTCATGAACGAATTTAGCGACGATTTTTTATTAATTCTTTTGCGACGAACTCCGCGACGAAATTTTATTTTTGCAACGAACTTTTGTAATTTGTGATCGTACGATAAAATCATTTATTTTATTTTTCGATGTTAAACCTAATTAAAAGCAAAATTAATTTTTGGAATTTATATTTAACATTGATTAAGCACTTAATAACATCAAAATATTATAATAATATGAAAATGAAATACATTCATCTACATTTCCACAAGAATGACATAAATAAAGAACCAAACTGAAAGGTGCATTCTTCCTTTTCAAGACAGACCTTCTCGATTGAGGAACTATCCAACCAAAAGGCGTTATCAGCCTTGTTATCATAAAAAAGTTCATAGAATATGTTCTTGGCTCCACCAAGTCTAGCAACCAAACCTTCTAACCTTCTCCATGTCAATGGTTGTAGGTGAAGTCCCCAGATTTGACATACCAAGACAGTTCCTCTCGTCCAAATCATACACTGGTCTTCTGCTTCTAGTAACCTCTTGAAGCAAGTGATCGCCATTAATCTCCACAGAGGGAGTATTTGTTAAACGAACTTGTCCTGATATATGATTACCATGGGGCACCTGGATTCGCGCTAAAAAAAGTTTACTGCTCAGAAATAGATACAGTCAACCAAAATGAAAATAACAACTCTCCGATTGAATCCCCAAAGCCACAACCTTCAACCAAAACCATCCACACACCACTCCCAATAGAGAAGCTCTTGAGATAATTTAGAGAATAATGCCAGGTATCTAAAGACTAGTAGTCCACTAAATTGGTTCACTGACTGATGCAGCAGAGTTCTACTTAATGTTGAATATGGCCTCCTTGTTCGCAAGCTCAGCTACAGTCTATAACATAACTTAGTAAATCAATTTAGTAGATCATCTTTACAAATTTAATGTTACTCTAATTTGAATCGCCCAATGGTTGCCAAACACCCACCTCCATCAAGACCAGAATCTCAGTATACAAGAAAGGAAAAGCAAAAAGACGTTAACTCTCATGTCAATGTGTTGCTCATGATCAAAGCTATTGATACTTCTACTCAATGTAACTGAGTTCATTTGGCTGTGTTCCAAACCAACATTGTTTTCATAAGGAGGCTGGGGAAAAAACGTTATAGGGAAAATAGGTTGATGAATAAAAGAAACTCCATAGTTATACTTCTAGACTTGCATGCCATGCTATCATAACGCTAAACTACATCACCAACCAATAGTGGTTGTAAAGCCAAAAAGGCCATACCATTTGTAATTACAATTTGCTTGGTCCTTATAAGAATGAAATTTAGAGTAAAAGAGATGACCTGCTGCTTGTTGATGTCCACCCCAGAAAACCAACATCCAAAGCCAGGATGAGAGTGGTACCAACCTACCACCATCTCTGGTCTGCAATGCAGAATACATAATAAGCATATAAAACATAAACATATGTTGCAACATATACGAATATAGAGAAGAACCCAGACCAAGGATGACCAACATTGACAAAAAAGGACAGTTAAAATAAAATATAAACCCTGATCACAGGTTACAATTAGAATTTTATACTGGTGCCTATCTGACCTATTGCATGATAGTATTAGATGATAAAATAGCCAGTGTCCAACTCAAGAACCATCCACAAAAATTCAATCCAAGATACACACACACAAGTAGAAAATAAAAGTTCTACCTATCCAAAGAGGCATGTCTTTAGCACAGATATATTGTACTGGTGAACGGTGACCTACGATAAACAGCTAGGACAGAAAATATGGACAAATATTTCTCTTTAAAAGTAATACCCGTGAAACCTCATATCGATTGACCCAGAAATTAAGCCTTGAAAAAAAAAGCGTTGTTTGTCAGTCACTAACTAACATATAATATCTAACACAAGGATCATCACCATTCAGTTTCCAAGTTACTTGAAGCATACAATCTGGCAGATGGAAGATGTATCATATAATATATCAAGCCCATAACGGCCATGACATCCATGAGCTCAGAGAATGCTATTCTACCATACCACATCTTAATTGGAGACTATTCAATCATTGTTCAGCGCATAATTAGGTAAGCATTCACATTCATATTACATGAGCATTACCGTGTGTGATAAACAGAGAAACATGAACTTCAACATGCTCGTGATTCTAGATAGGGAAAATCATACCAGCATGTAACTATGAAGTTCAACATGCAAGTCATTCTGAAAAAAACAACAATCATGCTTTGGTTCTACTAGTTATTAGAATTTTCTCGTAACTAGCGTCTGCATAAAATCTTATCAGCTTATCATAACCCGAAGGCCTTGTAACGCATCTGGTGGCTTGGTGTTATGGAGAACAGAACGGTGCATCCTAGCCAAATGCTGACTCTAACATTTGTTTCTCTGATGATCATAATCTCAATTTCTGCTTTGCTAATTCAAACCCTAGAAATGCTCAAAAAATTGTGATGGAGAGGTCATGATCACGAAGGTGATACTTCCCCAAATTACTTGTATTGATGGACCATTAGCTGTGCACTTTTAACAAAAATCAAACAAGCAAAAGTTTATAAACAGAAGCTGATGCCAGGCAGTAGATTATTCTCGCCATTACAACCCACAAGATGGTTGGATTTCAGCCAAAGTGACCGTGGATATGACAATAAGCAAATATTCAAACACAAATTTTTGGCAAATAGTAATTAGACTATAAAGCTTGATGTTGCCTAGGATGCAGATTCTCCAGGCATATAGACTACAATCTAGCATGAAGATTTTTAAGGAACAGAGACACCGCACAAAATGCGAAATGTGGCAAAACCATCTCTGCAGGGTAAATCAGCCTCCACACAGCTTGAGACATTGAAATATTCAGGGCAACATAAACAAATTCAAGACAATAACCCGGAGATAGTCGAAGGTCATGTGCCGTTCAATTCAAAAGAGCATATATACTAAGATAACAAGTAACTCCCCACAAGAGAACTACTGGGCAAAGAGGCGGCAGACCCACTGTAAACCACGAGGAAACAATTAACGCTGGAAACATACCATTGGGAATGTCCTTAAGCTGTATACCACGACCCTGAAATACCAGCAAGCTATTAATCCCTTTTGGAAAAAAAAGATCAAAAAAGAGAGTCCAAGCGTGCCAGTACCTTTTCGATGGAGAAGCCCTTGCTGGAGGGCGTCCTGACGAGGGCATGAGCGGAACACCGCTCCACCGATGTCCTTTCTCTGGTGGGCCGCTCGATTCCGGGCGTCGCCGGATCTTCCTTCGCCGCGCTCGATTTCCTCCTCCTCTTGGGCACGCCCTGTTTCTCCACGGAGCTCCCTCCTTTCGGATTCTCCTCGCTCTCCTTCTCTTTCGGGGCGTCGTCCCCGTCGTCATCTTCGGCCGAGGCCTCCTCGTCGGAAGCCTCGGCCTCCTCCTCCTCCTCCGGAGCGGCGATCTCTCGGTCCTCTTGATCTGCCTCCTCCACCTCTGATTTCTCGGGGAGCTCCTCCTTGCCCTCGACCGGGGGGAGGAGGAGCCGCCGCCCCTTGGGGCTCCGCGGCCTCTAGGGCTCCGGAGGCCATGGGCGAGGAGGAGTTGCCGGAGGAAGCGCCGGGGTGGAAGCGGGTGAGAAGGAGAACGCTTCAGTTTCGCATCTCACTTCTGGATTTGGGATTTATAGACGCATCGTAGATTTAGCATTTTAATTTTCACTATAAGAAACCAAAAGGTCATTTGGACACGACATTAAAATTAAGGGTCGAATTGGCCAGTTGACCCATTACAAAAACGTCCTCGTTTGTCTATTTTACATTCATTGTTTCAATTTGATTTCTTTTGCACTTTTGATTCAGAGACATTAACATTTTGTAACCTCAAGCATGACGATGATAATGTCAATCGACGGGAGATTCAGGAGTCCGGAAATCGGGAGATTGAACGTCCTGACTTCTACGATACGGTCAACTAGGCATTTCAATTTAAAGCGAACCCCATCGGGTGTAATTTCATAACATGGCCACTATCCGAGGTAAGTACAGGAATTAGGGAATGTCTAGACGGATTCGGAGCCGGAAGAATAATCATGACTCAACCCAGCTTATACATCAAACGTAAATTGGGTTCAATTGCACCAAATTGGGTTAACCCGGTCCTTTTTGGTCAAATTCAACCTGAATTCTTTCATTTCTTTAGTTTCTTTAGGTCCTAAACTTTCAATAATTTATGACTTGACCCCACGCCAGGTTTAGAAATTCAATTAAGTCCCCATCAAAACCACGGCAGCGCGCACCCCTTTGAAATATTGACCGATATGAAAGAAAACTCTTGGAATTTCTCAAAGATTTTGGCACGTTCCGGCGTGTTATAGTACATACCAAATGGTCTTTACGTTCTGGGAGGTGAATTGAAGAAAGAGAAAAGAGAGGAGGTCTACAAAGGTCTTTCTTTCTCGGTTATTTCTTCTACCTCTGAAATCTCTCGCACAGATTGTAGAAGGAGATTTCTCTCTTCTCGAATTCTCCATGGACACCCAGAATCAAACGCGGATCTTCTCTAGAGAGTTCGACTTTTGCGAGCTTCATCATGCCGATTCGAAAAATGAAGGACTCGTGCTGATTTCTATCTCTCTGCCAATGTTACGTGGAAGAATAGTCGAGATCGGAATCTGATTGAGCTCAAATTCCTCTCCTCAAGTTCTGTACCACTCGACAATAGCATCAAGACCGAGCGAAGTGCCTTTCCTTCTCTGATTTTGAGTTTCGGATCAGTCAAGAGTCTATTATCTATAATGTGATCCCACATTTTTAGGGATGTGGTTTTTTAAATAAAACCCGCCCTTATCATTGATCAGCATTTTCTCTCTTGAGCGGCGGTTATTCCACCATATGATTTTCGAAGTTCATACCTTTTTGTTGACAACGTCAAGGAAAAGGTACATCGAAGATATTACTCGTTCTTAGAGGACATGTTACTATGATTCATGTATTTTGTTTCTTTTCTTTCGGCATAAAGTTTTCGTGGATTTGGTTGGATCATTCGTATGATGATAATGTTGGGATCAAGTAGGAGAATGTTATCTATAATGTGATCCCACATTTTTAGGGATGTAGTTTTTTTATATAAAACCCACAACTTCCATTGATCCACTTTTTCTCTCTTAAGCGACGATTATTCCACCATACTGTTTTTCACGTTCATACCTATTCGTTGACAACCGCCCATTGGAAATCACCTTGATGGAAGGCAGTTTATAAAGACAATCGATCATTTTTTCGTATGTGCATGACAAAGTCTAAACCAAACCCTCTCTTTCGGAAATACACCATCAGTACGCAAGGAGATTGGGTTAGTAGAGTACGCCCATAATTGTTGTTGAATTGCCATCAAATCTCTGCGGATTTCCTTCGTACATAAACTCAAACAATGATTGGATGTCAGATTTATTTCACATCCTGTTTTTCACATGTGTTCTAATTGATGCTTGAATTCTCTTCTTCAGTGCATGATTAGAATCGCTAAATAGCTTCTAACAGTTTTTGTTTCAATCCCTCTAGCAGAGTCTACATTTCTCGATACCTTTTTCTCAGCTACCGATCTTAGCTTCAACAATATTATCAGCTCCCTCTCCTTCCAGCAGCTTTAGAATCATTTTTCGATATTGACGAGAGTTCAGACCTCCAGTCACTAGACAACAACACAGAACCGAGAGGAGCACTTTCCAGAGAGCAGAGTCCTCTCACTGGTCTCTCTCAATTGCAGGTTTCTTTCTTCGATTTCAGGCCATTGTAGCCACCTTCGGCCTCTACCATTCACCGTTCCGGAGTTGCGCAGAAACCACTATGTTCTGCTCTGTTTCCTGCTCGAAGTGTTCGAAGAGTGCTCCTACTCTATTCCCTTTCGGCGGCTCCTCATCACATAGAATTCTCTTAAGCTAAATCAAATCAAAATGAAAAATCTCAAACGTCAGGCGAGGAAATGTTGGGACCCTCCCGACGGGTGTCAAGGAAAGACAAGTTTAGAGGATATGTCGAGTTGAGGGCCAATAGTCCTCAATCGGCGTGGGTTCTCCCCAACCCTTACCTCACGCAACGTTAGGATTTTTATTTTTATTCGATTAACCCTATGAGAATTCTATACAAGAAGTTACCACTAACCTATTGAGGTCGACTAGAAATCAAGTGAGGTGTGAGAGTATATCACACTTCCTACGAAATAAGATATCTAGGGTCAGAATTTTGATTATACTAATTATCTAACCAGTACTGTTTCTGTACCTAAACTTAATTTTTTGTCAACTAAGCTGTCCATACATTACTTTTGCAAAATTATGAATCCTAAGGTTCTCTCTGCTGAGTGTTAATACAATGTTTTTCTATTTATTATGATCCTAAAGTGCAACCTAAACATTCAACTAAAACAAGCAAATCACAACTCAAAGAGGCAACATAAAAGAAACACAATCAATTGATCTAGAGAAGTAACGAAAGAACGAGCAAAAAGTAAAGTACAATAAATTAACCCAATACGGATCAATGAGAGAATATGACATGGATTTGTTATTAAGCTCCAAGACAACAATCCCTATGAGCTTGACTTTAGAGAGTATCCTATCTTAAAATGGGTAGTGTGGGTTATCGAAACTTGTGGAGAAAAGTGAAGCCCGGTATTTTGTCATTCTAAGTTGGGGTCTCAATTTGAGTTTAGGATATTAGGTATTCATTTAGTCCCCCTCAAGTTGCTCCTAGGTTATGGCACTTCACATTACCTATTCAATTATTTGAGGTGAACCCCAAATTCAACTAAGCTATTTCTATGATTTTTTTTTTAAAGTGATGTTTCTAGAGTACTATTTTTTCTTCTTCTTTATATTTCTCAAACTAAATCTATTACTAATCCGCTAAACTAATCCTAAGTGATCCTAAATTAAACTAAGAATTAACAATCTAATCGAAAATGAATACGCAAATCATCGATCAATCAAGTAGAAGTCATGAATTACACTAAAGATTAAGAAATATAACTTTTCTAACCATATGAATCCTAATGAAACTAAACTAAGCTAAATCTAATACCAAAATATAACAACCTAAACAAGGCCTATTTTCTAACCAAATATCCAATTTTCTATTTTTAGGATTTTTTTTATTTTTTATTCTTATTTCCGAAAAGTGGGGACTCGAGCCAGGTCCCTGGGCCTGGCCCGTGTGTGGAGTCGAACTTGGACTCCAAGGATGTGGGCTGAACTCTTGGGTTTAGTCTACATGCAAATGAGTCAGATTTGGGCTACGCAAGGGTAAGCTGAAAAGGGCTTTATTAATCAAGCCCCTTTTCGATTAATAAAAAAAAACAAGCCTAATTTTAAGTGTAACCAAACTCAGCCCACGCTCATCTTTGACCATTTTAAGCCCATTATACTAACACTAAGCCTATCCTATTATCTCTTTTCCTTCAGCCCACGCTCATCCTTTGCCTAGGAAAATTGTACAAAAAGTCCTAAATCTATTATACGGTGACCAATTTAGTTCTAAACCTTTTGACAACTTATCAATTTAGCCTTAAACCTTTCAATTGTGCTAATTAAGTCATAAACCTTTTGACAATTTGCAAAATTTAATCCTACACCTTTTAAAGAATTGCCAATGTAGTCATTCCAGCTAGTTTTGGCAAAAAATCGCTAACATGGTAGTCAAGTCGACATCGATCATCCTATGTGGGGCGGACAATGCTGATGTGGATTATTTTTTATTTTTTAAAAAAATTCAAATTTTTTTATTATTTTCTTTTCTTTTATTATTTTATTTTTTTCTTGATTTAGCTGACAAGGCCACCGGTCACTGGCCGAGGGCCACAATGCCCTCGCCTTGCCAGACTCGTCCTCACTGTGGTCGGCGGGGGCTCGCGATGCCCTCGCCTAGGGGCTGGCACAAGTCAACAGTCCTCGCCTAGTGGGCGGCAGCTCTGCCGGCTCAATGAAAAAGAAAATAATAAAAAAAATCAATAAAAAATTATCCACATCAGCACCAGACACGTAAGATGGCCAGCGTCACTCCTGCCAAAATTAGTTGGAATGATTATATTGGTAATTCATTAAGGCTACGTTTAGTAGTCGAGATAAAATTCAGGATAGGATAAAATTTATCATATCTCGTGTTTGTAGCCTACCCAAGATAGGATAAAGTCGGATATAGGAAGGATATAACCCGGATAAAATTATCCCATTGGGTATGTGTGATAAAGGTGGATAAGATTTCTAATATTCACATAAAAGTTATTTTTCTCAAATAACAAACTTGTTAAACTAATAAAATTAAAATAATATATGAATATCAATAATATTTGAATTTTAATATATAAATTCAAAATAACAAAAAATGACAACAATTTCGTTTTTATTTATTCTTATTTTTATTTATAAATTATTTGCTTAAACAAAAAAAGAACTCTTACATGAATGATTATGCAAGCTCTTCATAAAACCTAATCTCTTAATTTCTCTTCCTTCCTGGAGATGAATGCAACTCACTAGACTCACGTGTCTGACTCTTCTATCCAAGTAGTTATCAAGTCATAGAGATCCTTAGGCAATTACTCACTTTTTTCCATGCAGTCTTCCAACCATTTGAAATCAACACATGCAATCTCTTCTTACTTAGAAGACGCTTCTCTGGTGCATTTAAGCTGTGGAACATAGAGAAATTAAGCCTCGCGAAAGAGATAATTAATCAACTTCCCCAAGGAGGAAACAAAACCATTTCAGCACACGCACAGGCACGCTACTTCTTAACTTGAACCAACTAGCTTCCCCTAAGCTATCACATAAAAGTTAGAACAGTAATGCTTATTAATGACTACCAATAAATTTACTGCCTCAAGGATAGAGTAGACCTTCAACATATTTGATAAACTAGCTCAAAATGCGGGATTCCGTATAACTAGATATACAGTCATAACTCAATTTTCCATTACCACATTTTTCCAACTAAAATTTGGGAATCATATTCTAGTTGTCTTCAAAACCTCTTAATATGTTTCAGTTATAGAAAGAAGGAATGTACATACATGTTTTTTACTGAGTATAATAACAATCCCAGAATATGTAAAACTGTCGTGTTCCCATATATGCAAATGACTTTGAAGTACATAATATATTTACAGAATGCTAGTACACCACTCAACGGCAGTAGATTTCAAGGTTACACGATTGAATGGCTAAGAGACAGAGAAAAGGAGATAAGGAAGGGAAAGGAAAATGAATAAAATGTAGAAAAAAAGGAAAAAAAAATTGAGAATCCTCAGTCACCCAAGCAAGTAGCCAAAATAAGACCACTTGCTTGGAATAGCAAGTAATTCCTTCTCTTTACTCTTTTTATAATGATGCCACCTGTCGAAATAGAAAAGAAGAGGTTGGATTGTCAATTACTACATAAATTGAACTTGTATGGTAGGCCACTGATATATTACAAATTCACTTCTAATAGCAGGTGAGCCACTGATATATTACAAACTTTATGACAGAAACTTTAGAGCGACAAGCATCCTCAAAAGCTTTCCATACAACATGTAATGAATTACCTTCTCAAGATCACATCAAAATTGACTGAAGTTCCAGGTTTTGACACTACAACCGCCTGAGTAGCATGTTTAAGATGATTGCTGACTTCGCCACCACCCCACTGTACTTCCAGTTCCCACCTCCTTTGCATTAGCCTCAACAAGAGATCCCATTTCCGGTTTTCTTCAACATAATTAACAAACAGAAAAAAGATGGAAGCAAATTTAGGACATAAAATTTAGAAAAAAGTAGAACAAGTCAGTGCAACAATCTAATCGATAGTCTAGAATCTACATGTATTACAATGCCTTCATTGAAGAACAGAGGTAAATGCAGCATCCGTGAAAGTGTGACCACTTCTGTGATGGGCAGAATTTTTTCTTGTAATAATCAACACGATGAGGGTCTTCTGATCTTTCCACATTATTTAAAAGCTGTGAGATATAAAAAGAAAATATCAAGTTTACTATCCCGACAAGTATCCAGAATTTATCAACATTGGAAGCTCGGCAATGGCCATAACAAGACTTCCTAATTTCTTGAGAATGCCCATTGGTAAATCTCAATCATCGTGTGAGGTTTCACATATCACATTAAACTCGTAATAACTTGTATGTTGTAAACTACCGCGTCGAAATAAATACAGAACATAAGGATTTACGTGGTTCGATCACAAGGTAATCTATGTCCACGGGCGAGGCAAAACAAGATTCCACTAAAATCAAAGAGAGAACAGTTTTCAGAAATCGAAAAACGACTTAATAAAACATCATGGCTCACAAATCTCTTACAAAACGAAAATTTCACTATCAATGAAAAAACCTAGCCGCAATATAAATAGTACTCCAAAAAAATTTTCTCGGGGACGTAGCCCCCTGAACCCCCCAAGACATTGATTCGCTTACTCCAGCTTGGGTGGTCCGCCATAAAAATTTGTTCGTTTGCTCCGGGTTGGACCTATCAACCCAACCCTCCCGTCACAAACTAAATCTCAATTTTTTCTTCACTTTTCGGTCGCGCAAAATATATGTCGAGTTGGATTATGAACCGGACTGAGTACATAAAATTCAAGACATAGCTAACATAAGGTATTAGAACACACCCTCTACATGAATACTTCAATTTTTATGACAAAAAAAATGAGTACTTCAATTTTGGGAGGACAATCAATTAGCGCATTTCCACAGCTTCTTATCAGTAGCTCCGGAAGAAGGACACCTTCTTGCGGATTTCTTGAACAACTATTTAAGAAAACAGTAGGCACATTAGGAGGGCTAACAAGTCTGCAATTTTTATTTCAACATGCCGTTACACGCATGCCCAAACCCCCCTCCCCCAATGAAGAGAAAGTTTTTATTCCCTCTCCCTAAGGAATACCCTTAAATTTTACGTCCTAGAGTTCAAACAAAACAATTTTAGGACTTACTCAGGTCCAAAATGACCCCTTCTTGCAGATTTATTAAACAACTCTTTAAGAAAACAGTAGGCACAATGTGCAGATAAATCCCCACATTCACATAAGGCTACACAAGGTCATGTTCATCCTGAAATAGCTTCTTCAATTCTAGTGTCCTATCTACGAGTGGTGTCAACATCCTGTCCTTTTTAGGAATCGTTCATTTATCTTCCCAATTGCAAAATTTTACCACATAGCTCCATTCTTTGTAATCTCTCTTCCTTCTGATATGCAACTCCTTGTCCAACATGCTTTTGACACCTTTCCTGGCCTTATAAAACTCCTCATGAGGAGGATAACAACCCTTTTCGGCAAGGTTTCCCCCTGCTAACTTATCCAGCAAGGCTTCCTGGAACACGACAAATCTCTAAAGACCAGTCACCACCATGCTTTTGCTTTCCGTGAGATCATCCCACTTTTGTCTCTTTTTGACCCAACACAACTTAGCATGATGCCATTAACTTCTGAAAACCATTCCTTTAGATACAAATATAATGATGTTAATTTTCATTAAGAATTAACTTCTTCTTTTTCTTTATTTATGTCAATACATATACATCTCTATATAAAATAGAATATATCAGTTTTCTCATGTAAGTGGCATGTATTTTTATCTTTGTACACCTTTGAGTAGCATATGAATTAAGGAAAATAAATTACAGGAGGCTTTTTCCAATGACCACCATTTCCACATGAGAAAGGAAAGGTGGGAGTTCGAAACTCCCCACCTCCAAGTAAGGGGGTTTATGAGTTTATGGGGTTTATCCAAATGGGCTCAATAGGGGCCTGCCAAACTTCTCGCAGAGGAGCTCCAGAGTCTAGAAATACACGTGGCATACAAAAGAAGAAGAAGAAAAATATGTAATCATATTACAATTTAAGAATACTCATTTATACCCCTTTTGCTTTTGGATTATTATTTTTTTTATATTTTTCCGTGATCTATAACTATTATAAATTATGCCCATTTAGGAAGACCATGATTTAGATTTTTTGCCTTCCAAAACTCAATTATTATAATACTATAAAATTCATAATACTATATAATATATATATAGATTTCTCTTTTCCATGCACAGTACTGTAGCGCGCATATCACCTAATTATAAATGGTAAAATCAACCGCGGCTTTAGGAAATGATCGGTTTGATCACTCGCAGCTGAACTCTCTCCGCCTCTCTCTCTCTCTCTCTGTTCGGTTGCACAAAGCAGAGCAGCGAAGATCGAAGCCAGTCTGCATCTTTCGGTTGGTGCAAGGGTGATCGGCGATGAAGAAGCGACCGTTGGACCGAACGAAGGTGGTTTGGCGTCACTTGCCACCCTCCATTACGCGGGCGTTTCTGACCGAGCAAATCGACAGTGTCTTCTCCGGGCGGTACTGCTGGGTCTCTTTCCGTCCTGGCAAGAGCAGTTTAGGGGGGCCTGCGCTTGGTCTGTGCTTGGTCAGGCATTGTCTCGTTGAGTTCCATGCATCGCCGTTGCCTACGGGCTGTTCTTGCGTTTCTTTTTCTTTTTTTTTTTTTTTGTTCTTGAGGTGAGGGGTGCTCTTGAATAGCTCTGTAGCTACTCATGCAAACACAACAGGGCAAAGTGAGAATTAGGACTGAGAAGTCCATGACAATTGAGGTTGAGGTGGAAGTTGATTGGCACACATGCCAGTTGTTGCTCCTTGGAAGTTGTCGAATGCGAGGGGATGGGGTCCTTTGGCTTGATTGCATAATTTGAATGAAAGTGAATCCATTAGGACAATCATGGCAGTTTGTCTGTTATGCACGTGCTGATAGATTCGACATGATTATGCGTTGGACATTAGAGTCAATTTGCGAGGAGTGAGTTGTCTTTACCAAAGGTAGCTGTAGCTTTATTGCTATAAAGTTCGACCCCTTGCCACTCTGAAGGTCTTTCCGTAGATTTTCTCCTGTTCTTGTAAAATGGGGGTGATATTGTATGATCCTCACATCTTAGACTCAACGATCTAGTTATTGATGATTATCGTTAGTGTAGACTCAACATTGCGGTTCTTAAATATGGTTTCTTTTGTTATTTCTCGGCAAATTCTGCTGGAACTTCCCTCACCCCTTCTCTTTTGTGCACGCTTCCTAATGTACATCCCCATCTGTGCACCGTAATTTTGTCTGCATGTGAACCTGCATGGTCTACCTAGCATCTATGGCTTAGCTTTAGTTGAATTCCGGCCCACTGTTTTGATGCTTTCCTCTATGATCTTGAAGATAATGTTGTGAGAGGACGTGCATCATCTCACTCTGTTTTCCTTGACATATTGTAGCCAGAAGCGCCATACTTTTTCTAGAGCCTATATCAAGTTCGAGAGGCTGGAGGATGTAACAGAATTTGCGGGGTTCTTTGATGGGCACGTGTTTGTGAATGAGAAGGGTAATCTTGACTAGATTCGTTTCAAATACTTTCTTATGGTGCTGTTTCTGCATACTTGAGAAAGCGAATTTAGTTCCAGTTGGTCATCGTGGAACTCTTCAACTAAATCTCAGTAACACCGATCTGCTTGAAGTGGTGAACTTTAGAAAGTGTTCTTCTGCTTAACTTAGTGGTTTCGCTTTTTTCCTGGGATATACTTCTGCAGAATTGGATTCTGGGTCATGGAAGTCTTTTTGAAAGTATACTTCAACAATTTACACAAAGAAAAAACCTTTTAAAAGTGAAAAAAATCGTAACTATTGGCTCTGTCTAATCCATTTCAGGTGCCCAATTCAAAACAATTGTTGAGTATGCTCCTTTTCAACGTGTTCCGGCCCAACGTTTAAGGAAAGATAGTCGTGAAGGGACCCTAATTACAGGTACCACCTTACCAGCTTTACCGTGCTGCATGTTTGCATGTTTGTAGAATGATTAGTTAATAATTCCTCCATACCTTCCAGATCCTGAGTATATTGAATTCCTCAAATTATTGGTAACGCCCGTTGAGAATCTTCCCAGTGTGGAGATACAGCTGGGGAGAAGAGAGGGGGAGGGATCCGGTCTGTTAAAGTACTCCTGAATATCACTTTGTGAAAAGCAATCTTAAGAGGAGCTGACTGAAACATTATTTGATCTTTCACTATGTTTTCATAGGTGCTGCAGAAGGTGTTCCTATTGTTACAACGCCTCTAATGGATTATGTTCGTCGAAAAAGAGCTTCTAAGGTAATTACAGTGGGTATTATTGGATCAAATAGATCTTTGCACCCGTGAGGAACAGAGAATTTGGGTAATGTCTGGGTTACGTACTGTAGCCATACTAAATTTACTTTACTTGGTAATGAGTTGTCACATAGTCAAACGCTGAAAAGTTTACTGGAATGGGGGTAAAGAAATCGAACTGACTATGCTGTTAATGGATGCTAGCTGTTGCTCAAGTTTTATGAAACCTGAGCAGAATTAACTTAAATATGATGATAAAAATAATACATTAAGTCATAATGATCTGCACTTGGGGCTTGGACGATGCTTTAGCTTGTTGAGCATGAAAATACAAATCATGGTTGGAAGAATGGTTCACGGTGAAGTTCCTTTGAAAGTTTACTTTTGTTGACAATGAAAGAGTTGGTTTCAGTGCCTGTGTTACCTGATTTTGAGGTTATATTATTTGGGTTATAATATACCTTGTTTGATGTTTGCATGCAACATGGATATGACCTCCATCTGACTCCAATTGTTGCCTGGAATGGAACTACAAGACACCATTATGCTATGTGATAGTGACAATTATGAAGTGCTCGTCTTCCAGGATAGTTTTGATCTTCTTTCCCATTTGTCAGAGTTCAAGGACAAGAGGCAAATTGAAGGAAAAAGCTGGGAAGCCATCAGCTGAAACTAAGCCTTCATTATTATCTAAACTCAATACCAAAAAAAGGACTTCCACAACAACGGTACGCATTTTATTATTTATCAACATATGAAGCATTTTCATTCCGCTGTTAATTAATTTCTGTTGATCTGTATATAGTAAATGGCAGATTGACCATGGAAAGGAACTCATGTTGTCTAACTCTCGGATTCCTTTCATGTCTCTTAGCTTCTTTGTTTTCTTATCTATCTTAGCTGGTTGCATGTGTAAGTGTGGTGTTATATGCACTCATCTTGACTTATGTAGGTTTCTTCTCCAAAGTTAGTAAAGGATGTATCATGAATTCAATCATCTTAACTTTTGTACTTTATGATATTAAGCATACTTCTTTTTCAAAAGTTTGTACACATGCTATTTCTAGTTTATTTGGTAAGAGAATTGAAAAAGTATCCATTATTAGACATAATCACCACCAGTATAGATGGTTATGCTTGATTTTCCTTGACTAGTACTTGTCACTTGCTAGTTAGGGTTTTTCTAATCTCTTCAGGCCTATGATTGGTGTTGCAAGTCGACTTATTTTATGTGCACAAGAAGGAGAATAATGGAATTTTTACAGTATATTGACATTTTTCTGTTTTTAGTGGCAGTGTGTTCTGACTGACACCGCAAGAAAAAGTCGTAGCATAGAGAAAGTGACTTGCAATTTGATTGCAAAAGTAGAGAAGTTACAGCTTTCTAACAAATCTAATACCTTGGGGGCCTCGTTTCAAGCTGAACTCTTGGGTGGCGACAGTGGTATGGCTAAGAAAGTGAATTTGTTCTTTTTTTTTTTTTTGGTAAGGAAAGTGAATTTGTTCTTTGAGTGATTGCTATGGCAATCTATCTATTCTTAGGATGGTCCCTAAATTTCAGTTGAAAATCTATTATCTTAGGCAAAAGATCAGGTGCTAATATGTTTAACATATACAGGATGGCCTGGAAATTAGTTTCTGGTAGTGAACCTAAACAAACTGTTTGCTTATTGAATCATGTGCCGGCATATGTGGAGGGTTCTATAGGCCTGCACATGATTGTTTTTACTGTTGGAGATGACTCTTACAGGGCTACTGGCCCCTCTGAAACATCTCGTTGTGTTTAGACTGGGGTCATTTCATGCAGAGGTTTTCATTAGATTTTTCTCTCCTATCTGTCTAAATTGCCAATGAAAGTTGAACCTGGTAGGAAATTAAAGACCGTGAAGAACATCCTAACTTGTGCTTGCTGGCTGCTGTGAGCATCTGGCGCCTGGCAGATTTCTCTGTCATTGACTCCTTGTTGTGGTCATAGCAACAACTGTGGGGACATTTTCATATGATCCTGGAGCTTTCTTCAAATCTTTTTAAACCATAATTTCCAATGGGTTGACACCAGAGAAAAGGACATCTGACTTCGATTTTTATCTCTTATAGTTTTATCTATTTTCAATGCGTTTCTGAAAAGTGATACTATCCCCAAAAGAATGAAGCAGTCTCAAGCATTTGAACTGCAGATAGATTTCGCTGGTCAAGCAATCATTTATCAATCCCTTTAGTTTGTTCTGAGGAGATGTCCATGGAGGCATGGCAATGATCGAAGAAACCAAGAGGAGGAAAAGGGATGAAACAACCTTTGCTCATATCATTATCGCCGAAGTGCTGAATGCTTTTCATTTTGGATTATGACAACTGATAAGCTCTTTCTTTTGTGTCTGGGGAATGATCTGATGCAAACTTCTATCAAACGCGCTTCATTTCACTGGAAACTTTCTCTGATCAAGCTAGATGAGCTGCCTTCTTTATTGAATCTCAATCAAGAGTCAACCTTTAGACTTTTAGGAAATTTACTCTTGGTTTTCGGTGTATGCATCTGCATTTCCTGGTATAATTCATTATGATTAAAGCATGACACTGTATTTCTTGATTTCTGCCCTACCACTGAGGAATTCCTGTCGACATATTCCAGGAGTAGCTGGTTTTGACAATTCCAGGAACAGGAAAATCCGCTTTCAGAAAGGAAGGTGAGACAAATTCATGAGGTGGCTGCTATTCCTATGTCTCTATCTTGTTATTGTTCAGCATTATATCTTCTGGTGCGGTGTATACAAGAGGCTAGTTTCATGTTTGGTTAGGACTAAATATTTTTGAAGCCTTCAAATTTCAATTCCGGTGTTCTTATTGATGTTTGGCGTTCGTAGTACTCTTTTAATGTCCTCCATGTAAGTGGCTGTTAACTGTGAGATTTCGAAGTACCTTGTAAGCTATTTCTAGAACTGCTAAGTGACTTCTAACCATTTCTTTGCAGGTCTTTGGTGGTATTGCACTGCGGCTATTCCAAGAAAAACACATGACGGTTCCATCTGCTAAAAAGCATCATCACCGAAGTGAAAAACGTAATCTTGGAAATCAATATGTGCATAAATATCTGCCTAAAATTCATCTAGGAAATGGAAAAAGACCTCCTGGGGCCCCACTTGTACAACCATCTGTAAAAGATGCAAACAGTGCCTCTGATGTGGTTGTTGGGAATGACCTACTTAATTTGGGAGATGAGAAACTGAAAACTCGAATAAGGTAGAAGGATCAAGTCACTAGACCTGACCATGGTGTAAGGTGCCTCTGCTTTGTCAATCGGAGGGGATCAAATGCAAACAATGAGATTTGATCCTTCTCGGCATTTATATCTGCTAAGTGTCTCTTAGAGTCTTCAGATGGTAAGGAGCATTTCTCTCTATCGTAGTGTTTTAGATTTCGTCGTCTCCTCTGCATTCATGTGGGACGTTATCCTCCAGGAGGCAATGCAGATCCTCAAGTTACCATTTCAGCAGTTAGGAGCTCTTGAGTGAGAAGTAGAGGCAGTGGTCAGTCTTCTGTAAACAATGGCTGGTTTTTGTTTTGGGGATGTCAATTACTTCCCCTCCTAAGGCCTTCCTGTCCCCAGACTCCTATCATGTGATTTTGGGGTTAGTAAATGGTCGAGTATAGCTTCATATGCTTTTGATGCAGCTATCATTGTGAGACTTTCCTAGAAAGGAATAGATGCCAAACATGAGTATGGCTGGCCTGGCAACTAATTTTTCCTTGTGACGTTCTTTTTTTTTTGTCATGAATATTATATGTTTATTAATCATGCCATGACTTTAAAACTTGAACTGTACATATTTAATTAAAAGGGTAGCACAATAGGCAACAAATTTATCACATTTGAAGATATTATATTTGAACATGCAAAAATGCGTCTAAACATACATAATACATATGTCTAAATGTAAATAAACTTGCCATGTTGATATAAAGTACACGCTTGTGTTTGATTAAACCTGCGCCATGTTTAGATTGGTAGAAAGGTCAAATGTTTATTGTTCATATTTGGTGTGTAAGAGGTTTTAATCTTTTTAGGGGATGAACATGATTCAACTAAATCAGAACTGTCATATTTACGTGTTAATGTCCTGTCGCAATCCTCTCGACAGTGAGAAGACGGGTTTAGTGGTAATGCCAAGTTGAGGACCAATATCCCTCGATCGGCACGGGTTCTCCCGAACCCTAACCTTGCGCGACGTTGGAGTTCATTTTAAATGATTAATCTTTGAAAATTTTGTCGATTATGAGCTATGTGAGATGTGGGAGTATACTTCATATGCAACTAGAGATCTAAGTTCGGGGACTTAATTATTTTAATTATTCAACTAATGTCCTTTCGGTACATAAACTCAGTCATTCATCAACTAAGTGTCATATAATATTTTTCGTTTATTATGATCCTAAGGTGGGTCCTAACCATCCAATTAGGTTAAACGAAATAAGAGAAACACAATCAAGAAAACAACGTAAAGAAATAGAAACCAACACATCAAAATATAACGAGAAGTAAGTAAGAAATGAAGTGCGGAAATTAATACGATACAATGTTGGGCAAATAATATTGCACGGACTCGGTATTAAGCTCCTCGACAACAACTCGTGTGAGCTAATCCCAAAAATCAAAATTTAAGTTTAAGTTTGATATACGAATCTCCAGCTAAAATCCTCATTAATGATATAAATGCTAAAAAAAATTCCAAAGTAGATCTGACATAAACTCTAATGATTTTTTTTAATCTTTTTATTATTATCATTTAAATCTTTTCAATTTTTTTATTTTTTATTCTTTACCTTTTTTTGTTTGTTTTCGCTTTTAATTCTTATTTGTCATTTCAATTTCTTTTACTATCCCTTTTTGGGTCTCCTGCTTCCAGGGCACGAGTTTCTCCATATGGAAAATCTCTCTCTTTCCCTTTCACCTAAAACGCATAGAGCCTCACTTCTCTAAACTGACCTTTTCCATATATTTCAGCAGCACGTGAACTTCTTCCTCTGCAAATCTTTCATTCATCTTCTTTTATTTATTTTTTTATTCTAACCAAATTCATCTTCATTCACTGCATATATTTCAAGTTTATTTACCACAATTTGTTTCGTTCATTTTTTTAATCTCATTATTCACATTATACCCTGTCTCGAGCTTAATTTTTTCACTCAACTTCAACAACTTGAAATTTTCACGTATCATCATCTAAGCAACGTTTTGATTGAAGCTACAATATTTTCATTTGAGCGATTAACATGCAGCTAATGAATTCATATCTCAACCCAGAAAAAAAAACGGCTAAGTGGGTGCTAAGATCAATGTGACATGGCTCATAATGAAGCCATCACAAATACTTCAAATGACTTTGAGACCTGCGGGTAAAGTACATCTCGAGGTACGTCCCTTACCCAAGTTCATTTTTCAATCAACGAGTATCTTTTCATGTTCGTTGACAAAATTCGGGTATCGTTATAATCTTTGGAAGGAACCTTTCGAGCTCCATTTCAAAGAGGGGCAGCCATTAACACCGTGAAATTTTTTCTCAACAAAATCAAGCACCGATTTTTTTGAATTAAAAAAAAAAAAAGAATAGTAGTAAATAAAATAAATAAACAAAAAAATAACAAATAAGTTTAATACCACGAAAAGTCCCAAAACTGATACACCAGTGATAAATTTACCCAAAACTAACTTTTTTACAACGAAAAACCCTAAACTAGAACACTTATAACAATTTTACCATCCGTTAGTTTCCGTTAAATTTTACTGTCAACCGTTTGAGATTTTTTCATGATATTAATCCAATTTAACGGAAGGTAAATTTGTCACAAATGTACTAATCTATGTATTTTTTAAGTCAAAAAATTAGTTTATGATAGATTTTTCACGAGTACACTAGTTTGGGATTTTTGATGGTCAAAAGTTTGGGATAAATTTATCACATACGTACAAATTTGAGATTTCTTCGTGATATAAACCCAAAAAGAAATAAAGACCTATTCAATTTGGGTTCAACTCGCACGGCCCACAAACAGTCCCAGCCCTTCTTCATTCCGAAGGAGTTTTAAGCCAGAGGCATACTGATGTGAGGCGCTCTCTCGGATTTTGAAAGAAAGATTTTCCACCCACGTACCTGAGTTATCTCCTTGTTGCTCTATTTTCGGTTGTTATCACCGGAGATTTGGAGTTGCAGTCGCCGCTGTTTCTCTCACTGATTCAAGTTTGTGTTCCTGTTTCCGAGGATTTCTTCATCACACCTAGAGAGAAGATCAGATAACCGAAGGTTCCGATGAAGGGGAAGGACGAACTCTAAATGGCTAGAGAGAATCTGGATCGTGACCATTGAAGAGATTCGAGCTTGTGATGATACAACAATGGATGTCAGTTCTGCATCGCTCCGAGAGAGCGAGAGAGAGCCAAACCTGAGAGAAAAATCGCTCAAATCCGTAGCTATTCGGACGCTTCTGTTATTGATGAATGGAAACCATGTCCTGATGAATGGAAAAGAACCCAAATGACATGCTCCGAATCGGAACTGGAATCAAACTGTAAAGTATGGGTTTTAAAGGTCAAAAAGTCAAAGGGAAAAAGGAAAAGAAAAGAGAAGAAAAAGTTTGAAAAGTCAAAAAGAATAAAAGGAAGTATTATAAAAGGGGAAAAATGAGACCATCAGCTGAGAGAAGCGAGAGCTCACCGAGAAGAAGAAAGAGAGGAAAGAAAGAAGAAAGAAGGGAGAAAGAAAGGGTTTTTGCACGTGCTCGCCACAGGAGTCTCGCCAAGCCGGAGTTCGTTCGTATCGCCACGCTCAGTAAGTATTCGCGCCCATTGTTCGTTCAATCGGAATATTTTTCGGGGTTAGGGCTTATATTTTGGAGTTATGAGTTATTCGAGCGGCGAAGTCTGATTTTTGAGTCGTTGAGCTGTGAATATATATAGAATTGGTAGTTTAGGGTGCTGCAAGGCTGTGAGATCTTACGGAACTCGATTTGGACTTTCGGTTTGCCGGATATGAATTTTTGAAGTTGAGCGCGTGCAATGAACAGTGTGCGACCAGAGGTTTTTAGGCTGATTTTCGTCCGTTTTTGGCTCGATTTTGAGACGGCCAAGTTGGGGCTTTTGTAATACTCTGAACGGGCTTTCTTTTGACTATAAGTTTGCTAGGATCAGAGTTCGATGGAGAAAGTTATGGCGCGATCAAGTTTCGCGTTCAAGTTTTGCGTTGCGGACGGTTTGGATAATCGTTTTGGATGAGCAATTTGTGAACGCCTTTGAGTTGTCCTGTTAGCGTTTAAGCATCGTTTGGCCGTTTTGTAGTTGTTGTAGTATTTTACTTGGTTTTGACGTCGATTCTCGTTTAATTGTTAGGGTTACGAGATCGTCGGTTCGAGTGAGCGTCGTTGTGTGATTTTTGGGGATTCCAAGTGAGTGGTGCTATCTCTTCTTCGGTTTTGTAAAACCCATGCCTTGAAATATATATAGAACTTAAAATAGTATTGTTATTGCATAAAAGTTCGGATCGGGCATTTACTACCCTGTTGATTATTTGAAATGTTATGGTAAAGCATTTCTAGAAATGGCTTATATATTGATTATCGTGAAATGAATTGAGAAAATTCTTTATGAAAAGAATTCTTTTGTTGAAGGTTATACATATTGATTTATGAAGAATTATGAAATGGTTATGGAAACATATTATGAAATGTGTCGTGAAAGTTTATATATATGTATTGTCTTGTGAAGCTGGCTTATGAATGATTTGAGAAATGGTATGAGAAAATAGCGGATGGGCTATGTTGTGAAAAGTTAATTGTTTGGTTTATGAGATTGATTTGTAGATTGGATTTCTGGTATTGGAAAATGATTGTTTGATGCTCAATATCGCTATGAGCCCATTGAGGGGCTTGAGGGTATGCATACCGGGTTTAGGATATCCTTCTGGGCCGAGCCACCGGCTTTGTAGGTGGAGACCTTGCCAAGGGGGGAATCTTGGTAGCCTTGTCACAAGGCTTTGTGTCGTGACCATGGTTAGATATTGAGCAATAGATTGGTCGATGGAATGGACCATCGATGTGTGATGTTGTATGAGATTAGCCAATGGAATGGACCATCGGCATGTGCTTTTGATGAGATTCATTAATGGAATAGACCATTGATGTGTGATTTGAGATTAGTCAATGGAATGGACCATTGATGTGGTTTTTATAGAGATTGATCAATGGACTTGACCATTGATAGTTTGAATTGTGATGATGGATTTAAACGTATATTTGGGACTTGTATAAAGCTTTGATGAAATAAAATAACTCGTATTTGATTGATATATATATTATATCTTTGGATTGAAGTACGAGTTTCTGGTATGGCTTTATGTATACATGCATAGTGGTTGCTCGATCTGCTTAGAAGAGATACGCACTGCTTACTGAGCTGTGGTTGCTCACCCCTCTCTTTCCCCAATCTTTTCAGGTTCCTTGGTTAGTAGCCAATAGAGCGAGAGCGATGTTGTTGGGACTTTTTGGGAGTCGGATTCCTTGTGGTTTGAGGCTGCGTCCTTCGGGTGGAAGGACGGCCGTGTCATCCCTCATCTTGGTAGGTTTTGGGGTGTGACACAAACTCTATTCGAGTACATTGTTAGCGATTACAGACATCCTTAGGCTGATTTCGTTTGGATTTGGTCTCTAATCCGAGGCCTTTGTGCTCTTTCTTTGCTGATTTAAGTT